GTCTTGTTGAAGGTGCATGTCCCGGAGTTGTTTAGCCAACATTCTCTGTAATTGTGAAGAGAAGGGTAGAATTAGAGAACTGAAGAACTGTAAGTAGGTAGTCGGTTGGAACTTGCATATCTTAGGAACATATAGTCAAGCCAGTATGTAAGTGGCATTTAATAATGTTGCCCGGGCTTAAAGATGGGCNCTAGCTGATGCTAAGATGAGTGTGTACTTAATGCTCTGGAAAAAATAAATGTTTGTCAGCTTTACTATGTGGAGATTAACTAAAGCTATTGTTTCCAAACCTTATTTTGAACTAATACTTACGGTCAGGAGAATATGCATGCATTGTACCACCAATAGATCGCTATTCCGGCTAAACTTTCCCGTCTTGCAAATGTTGCATGACATATCGATTAGCATCAAAAATGGCTTTCCCCACCAAAGGAACCTTTCGGAACCCAGCGCATCACGGGTAATCTAGCTCAATATCCCTTCACAATAACACTTTTCGAATCCCTTTCATTGCTCGATTATTAGAGAAAGCTCAAGCCTGGCTCCCCAAATTGATGTTCTAAAAAAATAAATGCTTAGATAAACGAAGTACAAGACCCGAACAGGCGAATTATGCATACGAGAGTATAAAAAAGAAAAAGAAAACGAACTGATGCCTTCAGAGAATTATGTCCGAAAAGATTTATTCCCGATATTTTGCCGCTCCAATATTTTTTCAANGAAATGCCGGCTTCTATCCGAGGAGAGACGCGAAGAGTACAAAAGGAGCAATTACTGGCTGATTGGGCTATTAGTGTTATGCAAAACGGTGGTCAACTGAAAATCCAATTCTTCTTGTGCTTGCTTGTGTCAGATGTGTGCAGAAAACGTTAAGATAGGTTTCTATAGTAGTGCTAGGATTCAACCAATCATATCTTGGCCACGACCAAACAATACAGAATTCAAAGTAACCCGTGGCGAGACCAAACTCGTATTCCCCCCTTCTTGCTTGGAATTGTCTATCTTGGATTGAACAATAGAGATTATTTTGAAGTCTATAAATGGACGATCTAAGATAAGACATAAATTAGTTCACCAAAATAAAACGTTTTTGTTTCTCTAGATTTCTCTCGGCGAAACGTTCTTCTGCATATCAAATTGTGGTTTTTGTTTGCCGCAAAGCCACCACGGACTTATTCCTATCTTCATTATGCACGAAATGGCAATGCAGCCAAAGATGTCAAAATTATTTCCATAGCAACAGGGAACTCACCCTGGTTATAGGTTTTCTAATATGTTACAACATATACAATAACTATAGACACGCAAGGTGATTCTTAGCGAAGACCTATTCTGTACANAAATGATCTAAACAACTAAATTTAAAAAAGAAATCTTCGCCGCTAAAGTTTGTGCCCCTCGGATTCAATTCGCCTGAGCAAAATAGGAGGGGGCGCAAAAAATATTTGCAAAATTACTGCAGTGCGTGCAGGTAACATTTACGAAAGAAACAATATGCAGCTGCAATAATAGAATGCTTGACTAAATCGATTACAGTCTCTGCGTCTCATCGAAGAAGAACCTTGCAGCATGTTTCATCAAACGTGGATGTTCGGTGTACGGGTGTTCGATGCCCTACTTAAACCCATCCTTTTCTCTATTTTCTGGACCCTAACACACAATGAGGTTGCTGAGTATTGTGTCATTTGCAGGAGCACTTGCTCTCGCAGCTGGTAAGCAAATCACAGGTGTTTTCACCGAGCTTGATTCTATTACTCCAAGCANTATACCAGCGGTTGAATTCGCTACTCCTGCAACACCCAGTTGGTTTGCAAATTTAAGTTGGCAAATGAATTCCACTTTTGTTTCCTCTGGAGATACATTCAGACTTCAAATGACTTGTGTCTATGCAGTTACTCTGGAAAAAGATACTTTCGAATTGATAGCTGAAGGCAAAACATATGCTATATGTTCAATTACGAACGCTGAACTGTCGAATCGATTCACCATCTTGGATTGTACTGTCACCGATGAGATAAATAACGGAGATGTGGTGGAAGGCAGGGCATTCATTCCTGTCACTTTTAATGTTGGAGGACGAAGCAATGCTGTTGATGAGTACTGTGCGACAAGCTTAATACCAGGAATTCTGCCAACTAATGGGCTTGCCTTCATCGATGGTACTCGTTCATTGAACACAATGACTAATTTCGGCGGCAATCCAGAGTATGGTAGAGCCATATCTGACCTGAGTAGCATTGTCCGGTATGTCCCTTCGACTGATAGTTTTGATGGATATGCGGTAGGTTCAAGTTTTTGCGGGGAGGGTTCCACCTTTAATGAACTCACCTTGATGGTGCCTGGGGCCACCATTGATTGTGCTTCCGTTAAATTACACGTTTCTGACTCATTCAACTCTTGGAATCTTCCTGTANTTGATTTTGATGAGGAGATATACTCCGAATGCTCATCCGAAAGAATCTACATCAGAACTGACGCTACTTTGGGGGCCGGAACTGCTCCATACGTTGAATATCAATTTACCAAACCTGGCACTGATGATATACAAACTAGTGTTGTCTCTCACGCCGTATGTATCGGTCTGCGTAATGTGGATCAAGAATTCGAAACACGTTTGGCCCGAAGGGTTACCCAGGAACCAGGTTCCAGCGGTCGTATTATTCCAAGACCAAAACCAACAAGTACTATCACTACTCCATGGACCGGTACATTCACCACCACTGTCACCAGAACCGGTACCGACGGAACTGACACTCTTGTGAT